ACAACATCCTTCTTTACATGCTATAGAAATTGTTACAAAAAGACTTCCGTGCATCTCTTCCACAGACAGCAAACATAGTTCATATTAACTCAAGCATTTTAACTCAAATATTTAATCGTCACCATCATCATATCTCCATTTTCATTTGACTATAATTGTTTAAGCGTCCTTCATCATAAAATATACCAAGATTTAATACATAACCACATACTGGCCCTTTCATTTACTATTTCTAAAATCCTCCACTAACACTAAATCCGTATGTTCTGTTCTAGCTAAACATCCATAATATTTAATAACAAAATTTTCTAATCCTCCTTTCCAAATCACTATTTAAAATTTACATCCAGTTTCCTTATGTTATACCCATATCTATATATACGTTGTTAACCCTAATAATCCACATCTTGAAGTATATTCAGAAACACAATGGCAACAGGTACTGCTCCTGCTGTAGTGATGTAACGTGGCAGTACAGGTAGTCCTCAGTTTATGACAATTCATTTAGTGATGATTTGAAGTCATACCAGCACAGAAAAAAGGACTACAGGTAGTCCTTGACTTACAACAGCTCACTTAGTGACTGTGCAAAGTTACAACGGCACTAAAAAAGTGACTTATGACCGTTTTCACACTTATGACCTTTGCAACAGCCCCATGGTCACACGATCAAAATCCAGATGCTTGGCAACTGGTTCATATTTCTGACAATTGCTGTGTCCTAGGATCAGGTGATCCACCTTTTGAGATCTTCTGACAAGCAAAGACAATCGGAAATCCTGATTTACTTAACAACTGGGCTATTAATTTAACAACTGCAACGATTCACTTAACAACTGGGACAAGAAAGGTTATAGGGGAAAACTTGCTTAACAAATGTTTTGCTTAACAACCGAAAAGTTGGGCTCAATCGTAAGTCAAGGACGACCTGCAATGACCAGTTTTCACATATAACCATTGTAGCATCCCTCTTGGTCAAGGGATCCAACTTTGTGTGGCTGGCAAACTGTATTTACCACAGCGTACTGTCCCAGGGTCATGTGATCTCCATCTGTAACCTTCCCAGCCAGCCTCTGAGAAGCAAAGGCAATGAGGGCAGCAGATCCGCTTAACCACCACATGATTAACTTAACGACTATGGTAAAGGTCATAAACTGGGGCAGAACTCTGTGAACAACTGCCTTTCTTAGCAACAGAACTGATGGCTCAAACGTGGTCGTAAGTCGAGGACGACCTGGTAGTTAGAACTTGACAAGCTCCGTCGCGTTTAGCACCCAAAAGAGGGGTTCCCCCCCCAAAAAAAAACCATTTGAACGAGGGTGTCCAAGGAAACGGCGCCTATCGCGGCTACCTCGCCATCCCCCGAAGCACCTAAAGGACTTGCGCAAACAACTCCCCCATCATCTCCCCTTCGCCACCCTCGGCAGCACTTCCGCGTTGGGTGCACCTTCAAATTACCGACCGCTTTTTTTTTTTTTGGCAAAGACCCAGCCGCGCTCTCGGCTTGCCAGGGGGAGGGGGAAGCGCGAGCCGACAGGAAAAGAGATAAAAAGCTCGAAGCTCGTCGTGGGCGGGTCCAGTTATGCAGATGAGAAGGGCTCGCGCTTTGACGGCTGAGAACGCCGTCAGTAGCCGGTTTGCGAGTCGCTTCAGTGGAGCCGGTCAGACGACTGTTAACAGGCGGTTTCGTAGCGCGGGAAGCGAGCCCTCCCCCCTCAAAGATCGTCGGGTCGCCTCAGAACGTCGCTTTCGCGTTCCACACGGTATTGTGACACGGAGAATCCCCCCGCGGGGAATATGGCGAGTGTCAGAAATGGAATCGGAGGGCCGAGCGGCGGCGAGGAGGTAAGTCGCTTCGGGGAAAAGGAAGGGTCGGTTGAGCTTGGCAGGATATTTGGGGGGGGGGAGGGGATAGCAGGTAGCAGACGTCGCGTGTTTAGGCGCGTGATGTGCTTCTCCAGCCCAGAATGATACCCTGGGCACGGGGAGGGGGGTGTTAAGTGCTCAGATTTCCCTGTGGGGAAGCTCAGGCTCAGGAGCTCAGGCTCCTCTTCCCGGTCCCCGGGGGATCGTTGTGCAGATGGGTTCTTCCTGTCTGATGTGGGGACCAGATGAGGATGACTTGGAACGCTTTCCTCCTTTCGGGACGCCTCGGTGACTGAGCAAGCGCCTGGCTTCCTGGTATCCAACAGGTGCCGCTGGCTTTTCAGGAAGAGGGGAAGGGGTTTTTTGGGAGGGGGGGTTACTTGGCCGTGTTTAAACCAATTTGTTAGGTTTGTGCTGTCAGGTGGCATTTGAGAAATTGGTATTTTAATAGCACACCTACGTTGTGCTGGATTAAAAAAAAACCGGCCCCTCTGCTATGCATACACAGTAATACAGATTGTTTTCCACCTAAAACAGTTCGTTTGGTGACCATTCAAAGGACACTGAAAAAAGTGACTTTTGACTGTTTTTCACTCCCATGGCATTTGCATCCCCATGGCCACTTGATCAAAATTCAGATGCTTGCAACTGGTTCATGTTTCTGACCATTGCTGTAGGATCCTAGAATCAAGTCCACCTTTTGTGATCTTCTGCCAAGCAAAGTCAATCTGGGACCCAGATTTTTTGTTAAAAAAATATTTTTTATTAAAACATATTTAAATATTAAAAAACAAGGCACAATTTTTCTCTCATTACAGCATTTCCATATTGGTATCATTCATATCATTCATATTTACATACGTTCTATTTCTATAGTTCACTATTCTATATTATATAGTCATTTAGGTTGTAATAATATTTACAAATATATACAGTTATTGTATTATTGTAGATATTACATAATTCTTATACAGTAGTTTTGCGTCTATCCTCTAGCCATTTATACAATATACTCCAAACTTTATAATACCCAAATTCTTAATTCAACAAATGGGCTACTAATTGAACAGCTGCAGTGATTCACTTAACAACTGTGACAAGAAAGGTGGTAAAACTTGCTTAACAAATGTCTCACTTAAAAACAGAAATTTTGGGCTCAATTGTGGGCGTGAGTCAAGGACTACCTGTACTTGTATGAATAAGATAGCTGTGCTGAATTTTTGACAGGTCCTTTCAAGTTACAGAGATAACTAATAAGCACACATATCCTTTGCTCATATATTTTATGCAACGCTAGTCACTTTCTTCCTATTCTGGCCCTGTTCTATCTGTTCAGCAAACATAATAGTATTGGAACCAAGAAAAAGATGAATCCTTGCTGACAAGTAAGTTGTAACATTGGTTGTATACATTGAAAGCAGGTTGCTGTTATTCATAGTGCAAAATATCTGGAAAACTGGAGCTGTAATATTTGATGTGAAGTAGTACATTCAAAAGATAAATCAAACACAATATCTCTACTGCCTTGCAAATTGCTAGTTAAATTAGAACTTTCTGTGCTTTTATAGGTGGTCTTTGATTTACAACCACTGAGCCCAAAATTTCCATTGCTAAATAAGATAAATGAATTTTATCCCATTTGATTGCCTTTCTTGCCATAGTTGTTAAGTGAATACTGCAATTATGTGAGTAACACAGTTATTAAGTAAATTTGGCTTCCTCGTTGATTTTGCTTGTCAGAAGCTCACAAAAGGCAATCACATGACCCCAGGACACTACAACTGTCATAAATGCATGCCAGTTGCCAAGCATCCAAATGTGGATCATGTGACAATGTGGATGTTGCAAAGGTATATAAAGAGAGTCAAACAGGATGCTTGGCAACTGGCATTTATTTATTTTTAAATGTATTGGTTTTGCCAGAAAATGTACCCTATTCCAGAAACAATGTAAACCTCATTTCATCTGGTGTCATCTGTGGACAAATTTATGAGGCTATGAGGCTATAACTTAATAGAAGCTTTTTCTAACTTGCCTGAGTCTTAATTCTACTTTTATATCTTTCTGTGAGTACCAGTTTGGTGTAATGATTAAGGTCTTGGCCTAGAAATCAGGAGAAAGAAAGTGCTTTAGTCAGTTGGGTGTCGGGGGAGAGGACTGCCTCACCAGCCATAAACCACACCGCACGTCACTGCTCCTTAGTATCTAGTTTATTTTCTGGTTCAAAGTTAAACTCTATATTCTAACATAAAAAGAAGACCAGTGGTGAGTTAAATATACTAACTTAAGGGGTCCATCTAGCAGCTGCTAGAATTACTACAAATATACTGAACTGCATGAATCTGTGCTTCGTTGCAAGATTAGTTTGTCTTTTTGTAAATGGGCATTTTGTGAATGGTCACATCCATTATAATTAGCTAGTATTTGAATCTACTGACCCATCCTTTCAAAAGCATTGAGATTACCATAATTTAAACAGCACTATTATTTGGAAAGTTTGGTCTAGTGGTTAAGATACCAGGCTACAAAGCTTGAGACCATAAGTTCATGTCTTTTCTTAGCCATGAAAGCCAGCTAGATGACTTTGGGCCGGCCAGTCGCTCTCAGCCCAAATGGGAGGAAGTTTGCTGCCTTGAGTTACAAATAACTCAAGGCAGCAAACATAAATACAAAGAAAAAATACAGAACAGATTATGTTTTATAAGAAAAAAGATGTGTTTTGTGTTGAATATAATTTTAGACAGGGTTTGCTTATTGGCCCAAACCCAGAGTTCACTTTTGCAAAATATTTATTTTAGCAGAAACTCTCTCACAGATATAATATAACTGAAGTTGCACAACTCATTGAACACTGCAGTGGTATTGGGTTGCTTAGCATTTATTTTCAGGTTTATTTAAGGCTATCATGTAATCCTTTATTTTCCACTGTAAGGATACTATTGTTCATGACCTTATACAACTTAATAGGCACAATCTAACTGAAAAAAAAAGTAATTCAGCAATAGTTATCTGATCAGGGAAAAAATGACCTGAAAATCATTAACCCTGTCTTTCTCATTTTTAGACATCTGTAACTGTGTTGCAGTGTAGACACATAGTAAAATGTATCTACTATATGAGGGGTAGTCAACCTTTTTATACCTACCACTCACTTTTGTATCTCTGTTAGTAGTAAAATTTTCTAATGGCCCACCGGTTCCACAGTAATGGTGATTTATAAAGTAGGGAAGTAATTTTACTTTATAAAATTTATAAAGCAGAGTTATAGCAAACCCCTACCGCCCACCGTGGAAGCAGGAACGCCCACTAGTGGGCGGTAGGGACCAGGTTGACTACCACTATATATTATATGTACTATATAAATAAATATCTTTGCATGGACATAGGACTGAAGTATATAATGTGTTCTATATAATGGAAGTGTTCTTATGGTTCAGATAGATTTCAAAACTGCATTTGGTCTAAAATGCTCTTTTTGGGGAGCAGGAACTATAACATTTTTCCAAGACTGGCTGTTTTTCCCATCAAGGTATTCCCACCTCTCCAGAAAAGTAACAAATTTGATGAGTAGTGGCATCTGACAACATATTATTCACCCAAGTTCCCTGGGAAACTGCATTTCTCAATGCTTACTGTGACATTTTCTGCATCTGAGTAGATTTTACCATCTTGACTGATCTTGACGCATCTGGCAGATAATGGTCATGGTAGCTAAGTAAACATAAAGCTGCTTGTTTTGATTTCGTAGAGAATAATATAAACTTACAGTACACAGTTTCTTTTTTTAATACAGTCATGTTGCTGGTATTATTTTCTGAGCTAATCCTATTGCAGAAACATTTGGAATTAACTAATTCAGCAGTATCAAACTCACATCATCACATTATCGTCATGTGACATATCACAACTTTTTTCCCCTTCGCTAAACTGAGGGTGGGTGTAGCCAGTACGTGATGCATTCAGCCTGTGGGCCGTGAGTTTGACACCCCTGAACTAATGTATCATTCCCTGCAGAAGTTTTGGATTATTACCAGCAGAAGGTTTTATATAAGGGTAGAACTTTAGGAAAATATGAAGTAAAATATTAATAAGGATTAATTTGTCAAAGTTTGAAGTTTTGTGATTTCTGAAGGACTGTGGGTTACTTACAATTAAAATAGACCAAACATAAAAATAACAACCAACCTGAGGAGTGAAGTAGGACCGATAAGCCAGCCAGCCCTTACTGTACACTGAAAAAAAAACCACAATTATCCTGTTCAGTTTACAACTAGTATTTAATGTAATAAAAATATATACATAAAAATAGAAGTGTGTAACAGGCTGAATTTTACATACTATTTAAAGTCCAGAATTCTCAAGAGGCCCATGTTTTCTGTAGATCTTGGTTGCCCTGTAGTGGATAATTTAATTTTGTCATCATAAATAATGTGATGCAATATAACTGCACACACATTTTTAACTTTTAGGTATCAAATATAAATAAAAACAGAGAAAAGCTTTGAAGTTGGCATTTGTTATAAAATAATGTTTTTGTGCTTGGCTGCATAATTATCTCTTAAAGCATGTTTTTTATTTTAAGAATGGATGAGATAGTTATCAAAAACTTTTACAAATACAAATGGTCATTGCTGTGAGCTGACAACAAATCAACATGCCACAATTGTTTTTGATGGAAATTATACATTTTTGCCATAACATTGCTGCTTTGTCATGATCTGCCAATTTTTTTAAATACTAGATTTCATCATCCATTAGAACATATAGGCTGAATTTTCATCATATGATAAATCCAAAAACGCAGCCGTTCATTTACTGCTATTTTATTATCTTCCCCTTTCACCAGTTGCATGCTGCTTTCTGTAACTAAGTTTAATTTTTACCAAAAACTTTAGATTGACTGCTATTACTAGTTACAGGTTCCGTTAAACCCCTAAAGCACATTTGATAGAGAGTAAAGTGGCATGCCTGCTGATTAA